TAGCATTTTATTGAAAGATATTTTGAATTCCCAATCTGCTAATTCCAAAATCTCTGCCATATCTGAGTCTCATTCTGATGAATTTTTGTGTGTGTGTCCTTCAGTGCTTCTGGTAATATTTTCTTGAAAACAGGATATTATTTATCAACTAATAGGAACAGAGATAAGTATGCCTTTAGGTGAGGTTTTATGTTTATCTGGCCAGGAACTAAGCTCTGTTTAATGTTTTTTTGTAGATATACGTGAACTTCAATTTCCTCTAGTGTCTTTATTTTTATCTTCTCTAATATCTTTGTGTTTGCCTAGCAACTGCTTCCTAAATAGAGTCTGTAATTTTTTTCAGCTGCAATTCATGATAATTATAAAGAAACCCTGTTAATGTGGTTAGATGTGGAGGAAAGTGAAGCCTCCTATAATCTTATTATTCGGTGTTATCTTTTAGTGTGCCTGTGTTTTTTATCCAATATAATAATCTTTCCTGTTTATTGAATTGGATAATCCATAAACATTGAATATTATTATTATTAGATTTACATCTGTCATTTTGCTTTTGGTTTTCTGTATATCTCATGTCTTTTCTGTTCCTCTCTTTCCTTTTTAATGCTTTGTTTTGCGCTAAGTGAATTGTTTGGTGTAACTGTTTAATTCCTTTAATTATTTTTTCACTATATTTTTTGAGTTATATTCATAGTGATTTCTCTAGGGCTTACCATATCCATCTTAACTTATCAGAATCTAATTCAGATTTATACTAGCTGAATTCTAGTATGATATAAAAATATTATTCCTACACAGCTCTATCTGCTCCTGTTCTGTGCTATTATTATATAGAGAGATATGTTACATCTATATATATTTTAAAACCAACAATGCAGTGTTATAATTATTACATTATATAAATTTATGTATTTGAAAAAAGCTGAGAGAAGAAAAGACAAGTTTTTTTTAATATGCTTTAAATTCTGGAGTACATGTGTAGAACATGCAAATTTGTTACATAGATATACACGTGCCATAGTGGTTTGTTGCACCCATCAATTCATCATCTACATCAGGTATTTCTCCTAATGCTATCCCTTCCCTAGTCCTCCACCCCCTGACAGGCCCCATCATGTGATGCTCCTCTACCTGTGTCCATGTGTTCTCATTGTTCAACTCCCACTTATGAGTGAAAACATGTGGTGTTTGGTTTTCTGTTCTTGTTTCAGTTTGCTGAGAATGATGGTTTCCAGCTTCATCCATGTCCCTGCAAAGGACTTGAACTTACCCTTTTTTATTGCTGCATAGTATTCCGTGGTGTATATGTGCCAGATTTTATTTATCCAGTCTATCATTGATGGGCATTTGGGTTAGTTCCAAGTCTTTGTTATTGTGAATAGTGCTGCAGTAAACATACATGTGCATGTGTCTTTATAGTAGAATGATTTATAATCCTTTGGGTATAAATCCAGTAATGGGATTGCTGGGTCAAGTGGTATTTCTGGTTCTAGATCCTCGAGGAATTGTCACACTGTCTTCCACAATGGTTGAACTAATTTACACTGCTACCAACAATATAAAAGCATTCCTATTTCTCCACATCCTCTCCAGCATCTGTTGTTTCCTTACTTTTTAATGATTGCCATTCTAACTGGCATTAGATGATATCTCATTGTGATTTTGATTTGCATTTCTCTAATGACCAGTGATGATGAGCTGTTTTTCATGTGTTTGTTGGCCGCATAAATGTCTTCTTTTGAGAAGTGCCTGTTCACATCATTCACCCACTTTTTGATAGGGTTTTTTTTTTTTCTTGTGAATTTGTTTAAGTTCTTTATAGATTCTGGATATTAGCCCTTTGTCAGATGGCTGGATTTCAAAAATTTTCTTCCATTCTGTAGGCTGCTTGTTCACTTTGATGATAGTTTCTTTGGCTGTGCAGAAGCTCTTTAGTTGAATTATATCCCATTTGTCAATTTTGGCTTTTGTTGCCATTGGTTTTGGTGTTGTAGTCATGAAGTCCTTGCCTATGCCTATGTCCTGAATGATATTGCCTAGGTTTTCTTCTAGGGTTTTTATGGTTTTAGATCTTATGTTTAAGTCTTTAATCCATCTCAAGTTAATTTTTGTATAAGGTGTAAGGAAGGGGTCCAGTTTCAGTTTTTGGCATATGGCTAGCCAGTTTTCCCAACACCATTTATTAAATAGAGAATCCTTTTCCCATTGCTTGTTTTTGTCAAGTTTGTCAAAGATCAGATGGTTGTATATGTCTGGCGTTATTTCTGAGGCCTCTGTTCTGTTCCATCGGTCTATATATCTGTTTTGGTAACAGCACCATGCTGTTTTGGTTACTGTAGCCTTGTAGTATAGTTTGAAGTCAGGTAGCATGAAGTATTTTTTACAGTTTAAGTAGCCTTCTTAATTAGCTATTTTGGTTCTTTTTGTTTTTTCTTTTGTATTCGCGTTGCCGTATGGTGTCATTTTCTTACTCCAAATCAGCTTTTTTTCCTGCTTTCAAGCTTTGACCTTTTATTATCAAACTGATTACATTCTATATAAGTCCAAAATACAATTACAGGCATATATGTTTTATGTGATTGACTTTTAAATTGGCGACACTCTTATTTATAGTTACCTGCACAATTACCTTTATCAGTGCTTATTTTTCCTTGTGGATTTGAATTTCTATATGGTATCACTTGCTTTCAACCTGAACTTTCTTCAGTATTTCTTATAAATCAAGTATTCTATCAGCAAATTCTTTCTGGTTTTGTTGATCTGAAAATGTCTTTATTTCCCCTTCATTTTTGAATGGTAGATTTTCTGGTTATAAGATTCTTATTTGACAGCTTTTTTTTGTTGTTTGTTTGTTTGTTTTCTCAGTACTTTGAAGATGTCACACTACTGCTTTTTGGACTCCATTGTTGCTGATGTGAAGTCATCTATGTCTTCTTTGTATATAATGAGTCATTTATCCTGTACTAATTTAAAATTTTTCTCTTTGTCTTTGACTTCAACATTTTAACTATAATGTGTACATGTGTGCCTCTTTGAGTTTATCTTTATTGGAGTTCATTGAGCTTCTTGCATGTGTAGATTAATATTTTTCATCAAAGTTAAGACATTTTTAGCCATTATTTCTGTTCATTTCTCTCTCTCTCTCGTCTTTCAGTTCTCCCATTATGTATATGTTGGTGTGCTTAATTATGTCCCACATAGTTTATCTACATCGCTGTTTATTTTTCTTTATCTTTTTTTCTCTGTTCATATTGCATAATCTTTATTAATCTATCTTCAAGCTCACTGTTTCTTTCTTGTGTCAGATCAAATCTAATGTTGAACCCATCTAGAGATTTTTCATTTTGGTTATTGTACTTTTCAACTCTGGAAATTCTATTTGGTTCTTTTGTATAATTTCTTTCTCTTTATCGATGTCTCCATTTCATGAGATATTGTCATCATACCTTCTTTTAATTCTTTAAGCAAAGTTTTGATTAGTTCTTTGAAGGTATTTATAATAGCTGCTTTGAAATATTTGTCTATTTTGTCATATCTGGGTCCCCTCAAACGCAGTTTCTTTTTTTTTTTCTGTATATGGGTCATACTTTCCTGTTTCTTTGTATGTCTCATAATCTTTGTTAAATGTATATTTTAGATAATTTATTGAGACAAGTCTAGATCCTCACTCAGGATTATTTTTTAATTGCTTAATTGTGTCTTTGTGACTCAACTGCTTCAAGACTCATTACCAACACCAGCCCCTCCTTGAGGTCATGATTATGTCCTTATACTAAATTAGGCATGCGGGATTTCAAGTGTAGTTAGTGTTCATCTCTGTATCTATGAGGCCTAGCACAGTGCCTAGCATATAACAGATGTTCTATAAATGTTTAGTAAACAAATCAGTGATAGTTACCACTTACTGCGTTTCCATTATGTGCAGGGTGATCTACTATTGCTTTTTTTTTTTTTTTTAACATCAGTTAATGCAATCTTGTCAATACCACTGTATTATTTCTATTGTTATTTTTATACTATGGTTTGGATATGGTTTGTCCCTTCCAAGACTCATGTCGAAATTTAATTGCCATTGTGATGATAGTGGGGGATGGGACCTTTCAGACATGATTAGGACATGAAGGCACTGCCTTCATGAACAGATTAATGCCACTATCATGATAGTAGATTTCACCTTCTTTTTCTCTTCCACCTTCCACCATGGGATAAGGCAGCAAGAAGGTCCTCATAAGATGCCAGCTTCTTGATTTTGGACCTCCCAGCCTCCAGAGCTGTGAGGAAATAAATTTCTGTTCATTATAAACTACGTAGGCTCAAGTATTCTGTTACAGCAGTAAAAAGTGGATTAAGACACCCTATTGTATACACAAGGAAACTAAGGCACAGAGAAGCAAAATCCCTTGCCCAAGATCATATAGCTTGTCAGTGGAAGAATTTATATTGGAACCCAACTCTTCAGGACCCTGAAGCTTACACATTATAAACTTTTGAAATGAACCTCAGTTGGGAGTACAGGGAATAACACAAACAAAGGTTCAGAATTGGAAATAAAAGACATATATGGGGAACTGTAAATATTCTAGCTGGTTTGTGGGCTTGCAGAAACTGCCATAGTAGGAAAACATCTGAATGCAGATGGCCTGAAATGCCAAACAGAGAAGCATGAACTTTATTAAGTAGACATATATTGGAGTGACATGATAAATGTATCCTTTTGAGAATATTAATAAAGTGCTACTGTGCAAAATGGATTCAAGGGCAAGAGACTGAAGGACAGAAATCAAGACAAGGCCCTTGATGCTGATCAGCAATCTTCTTTTTGATCAAACCTTACTCTCTCCTTCCTCTTAGCAGGTTCCGAGTCTTTAACACTTTTCTTCAACACTTGAACCACCCCTGTTGCTTAAATTTTTATCAGCTGAGTTTTTTGAGAAATTTAGAAGACTTAGATTGGAATACTTTCCATTCTTGGCTTTCTACTGCCAAATTAATCTCTAGCTTACCCCCATGCTGTTCTCATTGGTAGTAATAGCTACCATTTTTATCACTTACTGTCTCATGTAATCCTTACAACTACATTGTGAGAAAGGTTTAGTTATCGTCAATTTGTAACTGAGAAAATTGATATTTGGAATGATTCACTTCTTGTCAAGTTTACCCAGATAGCAAGTTGCAGAGCCAGGATTTGAACCTAAACCTATTTGATTCCAAGATCACCCTCATGACTACTATAGTCTGAGCGTGAGCAATTACTGCACCACTCTCCTCTTGAATTCTATTTTATCGCTGTCTCCCATCTACTTAGGGTTCTTCTCCAGCAACTATCCCCTGTCTTTCTCCTCTAAAGTCAACATATCTCTTCCTATGGACTTTTTCCTCTCAGTGAATATATACCCTAATATCTCATCTACTAAAGAACAATATCAAATTAACAAGAGTCAACTTCACCCATGTTGTTCCTTATAAATATCATCCTGTTACTCTTTATTCCAAATGTCTGTAAATATTTGTCTATGCTGTCTCTAATTCCTCACTTTCCACACTGAAATCTGGTTTCAGTCTCTATACTACATGATACCACTTTTGATAGAGTCACAAAATTGACCAATCCTATTTCAGTCCTAGTATTACCTGGTGTTTATGTTTCCAGTACTCTCCTTCATGTCACTCTTCCACTCTGTCCTCTATTCTCAACTTCCACACAACTACATTACTTCAGATCCCCATCACCTCTTTTCTAGGTAAATCTCCTTTCTCTTTCTCTACTCTTGCCATCTCCAGTCCATTCTCCACATTGTCTGCAAGAGTGAACTTTCTAAAATGTAAATGTAACCATGTTACTGTCTGTATTAGTCCATTCTCTCATTGCCATAAAGAAATACCTAAGACTAGGTAATTTATAAAGAAAAGAAGTTTAATTGGCTCATGGTTCTGCAGCATGTACAGGAAGCACAACAGCTTCTACTTCTGGGAAGGCCTCAAACATGGTGGAAGGCAAAAGGGGAGTGAGGCATCTCACATAAATAAAGCAGGAGGAAAAGAGAGAGGGGTAAGTGCTACAAACTGTTAAACAACAAGATCTCACAAGAACTCACTCACTATTTCAACACAGCGCCAAGGGAGATGGTGCTAAACCATTCATGAGAAACCCCCATGATCCAATCACTTCCTCCCAAGCCCCACCTCCAACATTGAGGATTACAATTCAACATGAAATTTTGGTGGGAGAGGGGGTGGGACACAGATCCAAACCATGTCACTGTTGTACTTAAAACCCTTCAATTTAAATATAGAACTACATAGTAAGTAGTATATAGCTCTTATAGAATTATGGCCCTAATTTAGACCACATCTTCCCCCTCTTTTTCCTGAATACTCTAGGTTCTAGCCATATTGAGTGCCTTGTTTTCTCATATCCTCATGCCTTTACATGTGCTCTTCTCCCTCTGTTTTGTACATTTCTTCTCCTTGGCCATTGGTTGAACTTCTCTTTTTTCATGACTTAGTTCATTTATTCGACCATTCCTGCAACCTCTCCACCCCAACTCTTTCCCATGTTCCAATCCCCCAAACAGTTTGTTGCTTTGCCCTCTATTTTAATAAAATGCCTCTAGAAGCACTATTAGATTCCAATAACAGAATCATTATACATACCAGTGAGACTGGCAATTTCCCAAAGATGGAAACCCGATCATGAAATTTTTCTTTTTTTAGTGTCTGGCACATAGTAAGTGCTCAATGAATGTTTGTTGAACTTAAAGAATGATTGAGTGAGGCTGTCCTTTTATTCTGTGTATGAAATAAGAGAGCCACAACCTATGGTAGCTGCCATAAGGACAGACATTCAGATTTCCTTTCAGTCACCCATTCATTCAATAAATATTCAACCTATGCAGCAGTGGGCTATTACAGACAATAAGTAACATGGTTAGATTTGCATTTTAGAAAGTTCAATCTTACAGACTCCACTCTTATAGTGTGGAGAATGGATTGGAGCTGGCAAGAGTGGAGAAAGGAGATTTACTCAGAAAAGAGGTGGTAGGGATATGAAGTAATGTTGTGGCATGGAAGCTGAGAATAGAAGATGGAAAATCGAAGACAGAATATGCCTTGGAAAATGACTGTGTGTAGAAAAGAGGAGATGAGCAAAGTGGCAAAGATGATTGGGGATAACTGGGTACATGATGGTATCAATGGCAGAGAATTGAAAGCTAATAGGATTGATTCTCAAATGCTGAAATAGGACTGGTTATAGCAAATGTGAACATGAGACATTCCGGTGGCAATTTGGGGTCATTGGAAATGGTATGAAATGGTGTGAAAATGACGCTGCAATTTTCAATATAGAAAGAGCCTGAAAATAGCCTTCTCTCATAGAAACTACATGTCACAATAGGACTTTGATTGAAATTTACCTGCATCACTTTCTTTATCTCCAACATATTTGAGGAAGATAGTTACTAAGAGCTTCCTATTTACAAGCCAGGACTACATTATTATAGTTGCATATGTGTGAGTGAAAGAGTGATGAGGACAGACATTCAGATTTCCTTTTAGTCACCCATCCATTCAACAAATTTTCAGCAAGCGCCTACTCTCTGTTATGTTCTGTGCTAGGCGTTTATCTGAACAATACACGCTAATTCCCTGATTTCATGTGGCTGATAGAATTATGAACAAAACACCATAAAACAAATAATCACATGAATACATAAAAATAGATAATAAACTAGAAATTATGAAAACTATGGTAAACAAAGGTAAAAATAATGGAGGGAACCTAATTAAAATGGGAACAGAGTATATAGTCAAGACTTTTTCAAGGAAGTGATATTTAAGCTGAGACCCAGATTTTCATCACACTTTTCAATGGTCAGTTACTTAGAAATAGAACAACAACCAAAAAAAAGGAATCATTCAGCATTGGGGAGCTCAGTTGTGTATTCAACTAATCCCCTCAACCTGACTCCTTTACATGTATACACCGCCACCACCATCTGCATTTCACAAATCTGCCCCATTATGGCTACAGAGGGACAAGATAGCTGAGATAGGGGATAGAAAGGGCTCTGTGGAAGCTAGTTTCTAAATATGACCCCCCCACACTATGAAAGAGTTCTGTGGAAGCTAGTCTTCAATATAACTCCCCACTGTGGACCATACGTGTTAGTGTTCAGACCCTCCCACATTGACTTTGGGCTGTCCCTGTGATTCATTTTCACCAATAGAATGTGACAGAAATGATGCTTTGTAACTTATGAAGTTGAGGCTTAAAATATCTAAAATTTCTGCTTTCACCACTTAGTACACACCTTCTTGAACCCAGCTGTGTTGCTGTGAGGAAACCCAAGCAGCCATGTGAAGAGGCCCACATGAAGGAAAACCAAGCCTTTAGCCAACAGTCTTAGCTGAGCAATCAGCCAATAGCCAGCACCAACTTATTAGCCATGTGAATGAGATCATTTTGGACCTTCAAGTTATCCCAGCATCGCAACTGACAGCACATAAAACAAAACAGCCAAGTCAACACACAGAAGCATGAGAAATAATAATCTATTGTCCTAAGCCACTAAGTTTTGCAGCAGAAACTGAAACAGGTCCTTGCACACAGGAAAGACCAAAAGTAAGATAATGTATTAAGTTAAAGTAGCTTGTATCATCTTCTTTGTGCTTTTGATTTCATTTATTTCATATTTTCCAACCTTTTTCCTTTTATAATGATCAGCACTTAACTTTATAATTAGAAAAAATAAACGTTTTTAGAATTAAAAAAAACAGGAGTATTCCTAGGATGTTTTGGATATAATCTTGGTCAGAGGCTTGGGTAGTCAGCCTGATAGATGATTGTCCGCACAATCTTTTTGCTGACTCTCGACTGCGCTGATTAGAGCTGCATGCTTTTAATGAAACCAGTGCAGTATTGGTAAAGTATCCTCCTGACTCATATGAGTTCAGACTGCTGTTAGAGGTTGAATAAAAGGCACCCCAAACTGTTTGGAATCAGGGAATAAAATTCAATAGTATTATAAATATTATATTATAATTAGTTATCAATATTATAACTAAAAGAGGTTGGAAGATATTGAGTCTTGGGCAGAGAATAGCTGGATATTTCTGGAAACAGTTGAAACCCTGCTATTAGAAAAAATCTAAAAATCTGGTGCAGAGACAAGTATCTTTTTTTTTAAGACAGGATCTCACTCTGTCACCCTTCCATTCCCAAGAGATCCTCTTACCTCAGCCTCTCAAGTAGCTGGGACCACTGGAACCACGGGTGTGTGCCATCATGCCCAGCTAATTTTTTTTTCTACAGGGACAAGGTCTCCCTATGTTACCCAGGCTGAATTAAGTATCTTAACACAACTCTGGCTCTTCTCAGTTCTCATCTTCCATTCACTGAATTTCTTTGCTTGGCAAGAGGTATACAGGTAAACTTCAGCTTTCCAAATAAGCAGATCAAAATAATAGCTGCCCCACTGATATTATCTATCAGACAAGAATCCCTTCTTCTATTGGTGAGAAGACATCCCAGTTGGCACCCAGAAGTTTTATGGCAGCAAAACAATGAAAAAGAGGAATTGGACACAAAAATGCATTTTCTTGTCACTTGCCACAAAAGCAATAAGAGTTGGAAATTGCTACTTCAGCCTAAAAAAAGAAAGAAAAAGAGTTTTCTTCAGATTTACTCCTTTGGCAAAAGAGAGTTGTGTTTTGAAATTTTCCTCCTCTGTTATTCCATTCAATTAGCAAGTAGTAATCCATTTTCTTTCAATCTGTTGACTAAATGTGTGTCAACTTATTCAAATTCACCCAACCAGCAACTTTGGTGATAGTCTCCTCCTAAGTGTCTATAAATATAACATAAACAGACATCCATAACTTGATTATAAATATTTTTGTTTGAACAGTATATTGATTGCTCACCTCTGAATTATAAATAAACAAAATCAAAACCAAGTTCAACATTCAAAATAAGACTAAGGTCATTATGAAATAGAATGAGAGAAGAAGAAGTGCTTTAACAATTTCAAGACAGGCC